CTTGCCCTGCCTTCTGCTATGAATCATTCCTGCAGGCACCTGAGCCACGTCAGATCTCCCTGTTAGAAAGCCCAGCTGTGACTACTGTATTTTACTGCTAATGGAATGAAACCTGGATATCAGAGGTGAAGGGACTGGATCTCTGGCCCATGACCGTGGCTGTACCAACTGTGTCTTTTGCCTCATTTTATACTCAACAATAAGTGCAGTTACACCACTGACAAGCCTTTTTTCCAAAGGTACCTTTTTGGTGAAGAGAGACAATGCAAATAGTGATCAAGTGAGTGGTAGCAGGTTTTGTCCACAGGCCAAAAATCATTTTGTAACATGAAGATAGTGTTGCTACTGATTTTTTTAAACTAATACGAATAAACTGGCAAATACTTCAACTTTTGGGGTTTTAATGTATGCATTGAGATTACTGAATTAGAACTTATTTCTGTGATTAACTGCACAGAAGCAGCAATCCTTGTATTGACAAGTAGGAGTGATTATTGCAGTAATAAGTTGCCTGCAATGCACCAGGGGGTGTGTGTGCATTTAATCTGGTTTCCTTCCCTAGATGATGTATGTCATCTGTAGGAAATAAACTACCTGAATTATTCGGTGAATTTGATGTACTTGCAGCTGACTGCAGAATATCTGAATTAAAACTTGTGAGGCCCATCTGCTTGTATCAGAACTGAATCTAAAAACATTCTGATTTTGGTGAGAACTGGGAGGATCAGGATGTAGGTGTGCACCAATGCAGGGGAGCATCTGTAGTACACAGATATTGTGTGTGTGCAGTTATTCAGGAGGAGAGAATAATTATACAAAAGTTACCTGGTTGTGACACAGGCAGACAGAACAGTTTAAATAGTCGTAACAGCATTTGAGATGCATTCACAGCCTTCTAAAATCTTCCTTTTGATAGTGTTCAGCTGAGGATTTATTGGCAGCCAGGTCTGCAGAGCACACTCGGGGCCCTTGCAGGGGGTTGGAAGGGTTGTTCCCCCATGGCTGCCCCAGCCCCCTGCCTGGGTGACGGGGCCTCTTCACCTGCAGCTCCTCTCAGCCGAGCCTTCCCTTCCAAGCAGGTTGCCAGAGTGGATGCTGCCAAGTCTGCTGTCAGTTCCTACATTTAATCTTCCCTGCTACACTGCTTTTCTGCAAGTGCTCTGTGTTCCACCTTCATTTTATGCTTATGAAAGATGGGATAAGTGCAAATTTATGCGAAGATTAGCCTCATTTTAGTTTAGCATGAGATCACAGCCATGTGCTTGAGAGAGATGGTTCAAGAGGTTGCTAGTCCACCTCCTGCAGTGAGGCACAGCCCCGGATCAGGCAGGAGCTGTTTGAGGGTTGGCTACGCACAGCAGGACTGGTGGCAACAAGGCATGAAGGCCAAAAAATAGCCCCGGGGACGAAAAAATCGCCCTGAGCGTTTCCAGAGGGGAATGTTTTCTAACCTGCACTTTCAATCCCTTGGGATGTGATCTCTCCTCTCCCAGGTCTTGGTCTTGCAGAGATAGGTTGTTTTTTTAACTCTCTCCTTTGCAGCTAAGCATGCCAGCTAGGTCTTGTCCTTTCAAATAGGACACAGAGGACACTTAATTTTTTCTAACTAAATACTGGAAGGTTGTCTTCTCCTCCTGTTGCCTAGAGAAAAAACTAATTATGTACAAATTTGTTCTCTGTGGACTATTTGTGGGCCCAGAGCCCTTAGTTGGTGTTATGACCATCCGTCCCCCGAGCTGTGCTGTAATGAGAGTCCTGCATCACGTCATGTAAGAAGTAACACAGATTTATTTTCTGGAGTAGTGCAAGGGGCAAAAGGGGAGATTGTTGCTTGGTTGGCTTGTTGCACGTCACCAGCACTTGTAGGCCCAGAAAGAAAACTGGCTCCAGCTGGGTCAGGAACTTTTTCTGACCAGATCCCAGGCTTGCCGCAGACCCTTTTATTTATTTCCCTTGGACCACAGCCTGTGGTGTCACCATCTGCCCCTGGAGCATCAGGAATAATTGAATTCCATGTGAAGTGTTCCCAAAATGGAGTTGATGGGAGCTTGCCTCCATCACACCACCCCTGAGGCAGTGCACACATTCCCCATCCTCACATTATCCACCCTCCTTCCTGCTGCATCCTCCCCTCCCTCCTGCCTCCGACTGCAAGGAGGGAAAAGCTCCTCACGCTGAGGGGCCTTGTTTGGCTTTAATGCAGAAGTGGATTGTAATTAGAACCCACCACCCACGCCGGGGGAGAAGCCGTTTCCAAATGAAGTTTATTATCCTGAGTGAATGCAAGCAAACACATCTCACGGGGGAGCTTTTAAAAAGGCAATTCCTCATGATGCTTAATGCACTTTTCTGCCCTCCTGGCTGACATTTCAGCCCATCGAACCCATTTTGTGCCTTTTTTCCAGTGAAGAAGCCAAAGAGGGGGGAGGCCGTGTGTATTTTTCTAAGCCTGGCCTACACTGGAAGCCACTTGCAGGTTCAAAGTGCTGCTTTGCCCAGTTGCTTATGTGCAAACACGCTGTGAAGCAGTTAATGTCTGCAAAACCTCTGTGGGCGTCAGTCAGCTCCCCGTGGAGATGAATGGGGACGTTCAGGCATCTCAACTATAGTTTCCTGTAGTTCATCAGCTGCACTTGGTAGTCCTTTCTCCAGAGGCTCTCCCATCAATCATAACAGCTGGAGACATGATTTTTTTAAAGTCAGATCTCAGCTGCTTTGGACAGAAGAAAAGCTTATATGAGAGAGGCACTTCCTCTGGTATTCTGGGCAGGGAGTAGTTTAAAGCCAAGAGCTGGCTGCCCTTACCTCCACCTCCGAAGGTGTAGCTCCTGCAGCACCCCCAGCAGTGTGTGCTAAAAGCTGTGTGGGTTTCAGGTGGGACCCGAAAAACAGCTGCCAAGAGCAAGACCCCCTGCCCTCCTTCCCACACCGCCAGGCAAACGCCAGTGGTCCCTCCTCCCTGCGTGGTATACACCCGTCTCCCTTCCCGTGCATTGGGATCTACAAACCACAGCTCGATTCCTAGGAAGACCTTTGCCCCGAGTTGTATTCGTGGTTTTCGTGTCTGCTGCCGCTGTGCGCAGCCTGGGAGGGGACGAAAGGTTACTCTGCCAGCGGGAGAGGGATGCTGCCTTTCCAGAAGGGAAGGATGCCGCCCGCCAGAAGAGCGGTGCTATCCCGCTACAGGGAGGGACGCTCACAAGGAAGGGATGCTGATCAGCGAACAGGGGGAGATGCTCTCCCATAGGAGGAAGGAGGCTGCGAGCAGGTGCCGGCGGAGCCGGGCCGGGGCGGGGGGCGGGCCGGGCTGGCGGTGAGGGCGGGGGCTGGCGGTGAGGGGCGGGGGGCTGCCGGCGCCCTCCCCGCCGGCCCGGGGGCGCGGCTGCGGCGGAGCGGCGGCGGCGCAGCGCAGCCGCGCGGAGCGGAGCCGGGATGGGCCGGGATGGGCCGGATGCAGGTGAGGGCGCGGGGGGCGCGGGGGCGGCACCGCCTCGGGGGGGACCCGGGGGCGGCGGCGACACGCGTGGGGTTCCCGGCCGCCGCTGCGGGCGCTGCCGAGGAGCCCCCGTGCCCATCCCTTCGGAGGGGTCCGGCTTTGAGGGTTCCCCCTTGCCCAGGGCGGAGCGGCGGTGCCGAGCGGCTCCTGCTCCGCACCCGCGAACGCCCCCAAAACTTCCGCGCGCCGGGGCGCGGGAGCCGGGCTGCGCTCGGGGCACCGGGAGCTTGCGGGTGCGCGCTCGCACACGCTCTGGCAGCTCCGCTCGTTCTCCCTTAAAATATTATAATTAAAATAATAGTAATAATAATTATAATAATTGTAAAACCCCAAATGTGCTGCGGGGGAAGCGCGCCCCGGAGCCTCCCTTAAATCACCCTGCTCCTGAAAAGCAGAGTGCAGAATGCCGTGAAAAGCCCTGCCCGGAGCCCCCGAGCCCATCCTGCAGAAGTTGTTTGCGGTAACATATTTTTGCATCTTTCCATCCCAAAACGTTTTGATGATGTTTCGAGGCAGCGGGTTTTTTTCCTTTTTCTTTTTTTTTATTTTTTTCCCTTTTTTCTTTTTCTTTTTTTTTCAGGGGTGACACACATCTTACAACATCACCTCTTTGATGAGCACACGCGGTGTTAATTGAGGTTGCTATGGAAGGCATGCACGTAGTATAAATAAGCTCCCTTCTTGCCATGTGATTTGGCTTTTGTATTCCACAAGCCTCCTTTTTGTATTCTCTGTTTTTGCATATTGTCATATGGTGCATTAAAGATAAAAATATCTGCTGTCTCAGGGTGTAATTTCCCTAGCTGGAACTATGAGTGCATATGGAGCAGTGGGGAAAAGATTTAGCAAACCATAGGAAAAATATATATATGTGTGTGCATGTGTAATATGTATTCACCATAATATGGGAAGTTATATAAAAAAAGTCCCCTTTTACCACATAAAATAGCAAAGTAGTACTTTCTGTGGTGGAACATCGCTGGGTTGACATCTTGTGGCCTAATTTTGTCTTCGGATATTGATGCTAATTAGTGGAAATAAACTGCTATAGTGCATTCAGTCTGCCTCCCAAAATGAAATATTTAGAGAAAAAAAAGTTTTCAATATTTTTTTTTTAATTGCTCTACAGGTCTTATCATTTGTTTGTTGTGTTCCAGGTAAAAGATGAAGCCTCGGTCACGCTTCACAGCAAACTTCATGTAACCTCTGAGGGGAACTGAAGCAGAAAGCAAAGCCAAGGCAGCGCAGCATCTGACCTTGTCACTGGGGGGCAGAAAACAGCCACTGGTTCCACTGGTGCTTCAATCAAGCTCCCTTGTGCAATGTGGAATCGCAGAGAGCTCACAAAGTACAAGTTCTTTCCAGGTCCGTGGGGTGAATAAAAATTGTTAACTCTTGGCTTGATTTGTCATCCTTTGGGGGAAAAAAGAAAGTATGTCAGACTGACCATTATATAGTCGCTGCTGTTAGACCAAGCACAACTTGGAGTGGCTTTATTCCGGAGATGAGAGTGACTGTGGCCAGCAAAGCCAAGGAGAAGCCTGTTCAACACCACGTCTGCCCAGGATTCCTTGGAGAGGTGATCAAGTGAGTAATAAGACAAAGTGGGAGTTATAAAGCAGATGCGATTGCTCCAGCAGAACTTCTTTTCACTGCCACATCCACTCGTTACAAAGCAACTAACATTATTTGGAGAACTATTTGAGGAAAAAATGCACTTTGAGCATCTCTGCAGTTCTGGTGTCTGAGGCACCGATCAAAATTGCTACTACAACGCAGACAAAGGAGGAGTGAATGTGGTGAGGGCAGCTAAGGAAATTCAAATGGAGAACCCAAAGGAGGTAGAGACTCCCAGCACAGGGGCAACGTGCTCCCCGCCAGAGGAACAAGCAGAAAAACCCTCCATGCTCTGTTTTAAGAAGCGGAAGAAGCCCTGTAAGAAGGGGCTGACTGTGAAGGATGCGTGTGAAGGAGCCTCAGAGGAGAAAAGCCAGTGTGTCAGTGGCGACCAAGGGGAGGCAAAAGTTTCCAGTCCATCACAGTCCTCCAAAGGAGCCTGGGCAGCCATCAAAAACCTCGCGAGGCCTCGGAGAAGGCAGAAATCCGCCTCACGGAAGAAGGTGCCCTCTGATTCCCAAGTGCAGCTGGAGGTGGATGCTGAGGAGAGCTGTGCACAAGACCTCCCGAAGAAACGGGAGAGCTCTGGGGTGAAGATGCCCTGTGTGCGGTTCTCCAGAAGCAAGAAAAAACCCAGCCCCTCGGAAGCAGTGGAGGAGTCGGAGGGCAGTGTTCAAGCAAACGAAGTGGTGGGTGTTTTGAACAAAGCCAGTGAAGAGCCAGAGAATTTGGCCCCGACGGACAAATCTGAATCCTTCAGCCCAGTCTCTGCAGAGGAGGGCCAGGCTGCAGTGAAAGAGGACCAGGTTACAGTGAAGGAGGACCAGGCTGCAGTGAAAGTGGATGAGGCTGAAGTGAAGGAGAACCGGGCTGAAGCGAAGGAGGACCAGGCTGCAGTGAAGGAAGACCAGGCTGCAGTGAAGGAAGACCAGGCTGCAGTGAAGGAAGACCAGACTGAAGTGAAAGAGGATGAGGCTGCAGTGAAAGAGGACCAGGCTGAAGTGAAGGAGGACCAGGCTGAAGTGCAGGAGGACCAGGCTGCAGTGAAAGAGGACCAGGCTGCAGTGAAGGAGGACCAGGCTGCAGTGAAGAAAGATCAGGCTGCAGTGAAGGAGGATCAGGATGCAGTGAAGAAGGATCAGGATACAGTGAAAGAGGACAAGGATATAGTGAAAGAGGACCAGGCTGCAGTGAAGGAGGACCATGCTACAGAGAAGGAAGACCAGGCTGCAGTGAAGGAGGACCAGGATACAGTGAAAGAGGACCAGGATACAGCAAAGGAAAGTGACAACTCTGTTGAGAAGAGTGAGCCCTTGACAGAGCCCACACCTGACACGGAGGAACGTACAGAGAGCACCGTTCAGTTGGAGATCACTGATTCAGGGACAGTTAATGAAATAGCCCAGGACAAACTACAGGAAGGGAGCCTACCCCAAACCACAGATGATGTGGAGAGCAGGGAAGCTCCCAAAGCACCTGTTTCCAAGGATCAACCCAACAGTGCCCCTGAAACCACCGGTCTGCAGGAAATCCCCAATATCTGCACAGAGCTGCCTGAAGGGGATGAATCAGAGAAGAGCATAAATCTTCCCAAGGAGTGCAAAGCTGAGGAGACTGTATCAGAGTTCAGCGAGTCAGCATCCAGAGACAATGGAGCGAGTGTGCAGGAATGCTCCAGCCATCAGGTGACATCAGAGGCAAACATAGGCACCGGCATCGGCATCGTCATCACCATCACTGAAGCTGAGGACTCTGACAACACCGACTCTGACCAGGCCTACGAGCCGTCCCCAGTTCTGCACCAAAATAAGCAAAAAGGGAATAAAAAATCCAACCGGAATGCTGATGTTGGTAAAAAAGAGGGCCCTGAGGCTGGTGGCGGTCCCCAGGCAGAGGACAAAGGTCTGGGCGACCAGGGGCACAGAACTGGGGAGCAGTACGAATTGCTCCTCATAGAAACTGCCTCTTCCCTCGTGAAGGCGGCCATTCAGTCATCCATAGAGCAGCTGGTCAATGAAATGGCCCTGGAACAGAATAAACACAACAGCTTTCTGTGATGGCAGCTTTGCCCCCAAGAGGAAGAGCAGAGGGAGTGATTTAAAGCTCCATTTGGCCTGGGGGTGTGTGTGGAGAGCTCAGAGGGCTCCCAGGGCCAAGGTGTAGTTAATTCTGCATGCCCATTCAGTTGTGTGTCTATGTGAAATGGCTCCTGGGATGTGGGCAGACCCTGCTACATACACTGTGTCCCCTGGGGCCTCAGATAACACCATTGACTGCAACTGCAAAAAATGAAGGTGTTACAGTGACTGTATTTTCATTTATTGGCATATTTATGTCAAGGCTGCATTTCTGCCACCACCCATGCCAGGTTCCCCCACTGTTCATGCTGTAGATCTGTATATATCATGCGTTTAAAGAAAGGTCCTGAGAGGCAGCGAGTGCCCGACCTGCTGCTGGGCAGGATTCGGGGGCAGGCTGGAACAGCTGGAGGTTTGCCTGGGGTGTGTTGGAGATGAGGGAGAGCAAAGCAACTGCAGTGTTAACATGAAGACATCACTGTCAGAAGGGCTCAGGCCAGTGTTTAGTGTTGTGAACTGTAGGCATTTGCTACCTGCAGGCGCCAGAAGCCGCGGTCACCGTTGCCGTCACATCGTGTGAAGCCGCAGGTTTGCAGCGAGCAGTGTTCTGTGTTCTTCATTCGGCCTCTCCCCCTGCCACGAGCAGCCTGTGCATCTCCAGACATGTTAAAGCACAGCATCAGCCGCTCGCCTTGCCGACCCCGGGCTGCACAGATGCCAGGAAAGCGACAGCGCTTCCAGGGGGGCCTGTTCTTGCACCATTAAGCTCAACGGGCAAAAACCCCCTGCAGCATCACCGGCGTGGGCTGGGCGGGAGCAGTGCCTGCTGCAGGCAGCCTCTTTCCTCTCCCCTCCCTGGCCGTCCTCCCTCCCAATCCTGGTGTCGTGGTGAAGCTGTCCTCAGATGTAGCATATTTTTTTATATATATGGCATGTGATATAAATAGCAGTGAGCTGCATGCGTGTTAGCAGTCAGCATAGTTTGGGTAGCTGCAATGTTCTGCCAGCACTGGAATTGCTTTGATTTGGTCTGGGCGCTGCTGGCGTCCCTGGGTGCTGGCGGCAGCCATCCTGCACCGCTCCCCGCTCGCCACAAAGCCCGCCTGCCTTCATCCCAGCCCAGGCATCCCTTGGGAAACGTGCATTATGCCCGGCTCGCTGCCACCGGGCTCCGGCCAGCTCTGGCACGCCATGTAGCTCGCCCTGAAACATGCAGTGAAATGCTGGAGCGATATTACTGAAGTCCTCAGGGAAAAAATCTAGACATGGAGGGCCTGAGGACATGGCTGGAAAATGCCTGGACAAACCCACTGCCATCAAAACCCATGAACTGCCCTGCTCCGAGAGGGTTTGCACTGGCATGGCGTGTGTGTGTGAGCACCGCCTCCCACTATAAGCCCTCCGAGAGAAAGGGGCCTTTTAATAATTTGGGATTGTGTCTGCATGGCTGGGATTTATGTCCAGCTGTGGGCAAGGCAGTGTGTTCCTCTGAGAAAATTCTCCTGCGTATTTCTCAGCCGATACAGAAATAGCAGCCACGCCTGGCACTTGCTCACTGACCATGGGCGGTGCGCTGAGATTTCCCTTCCCAGCGTAGGATTTGGATTCCTGCTAAAATACAAGGGCTGTACATGTCCCTAGTACCTGGTGTACAACCACATTTTAAACCTTGATAAAGCATCTCTGTTGTTACGAGGGGACTGTGAGCAGCGAGAGCCACGGCTCATTTCTGTGCAAGTAAAACTTAAAAAAATCAGAGGATGTTAAAAAAAAAAAAAGTGTCTTCTTTTTCTGTGTATTTATTTATTAAGTTATCAGATATCGATAATTCAATGTGTACAATTTTAATGGCTTTGTACTTCATACTGGTCCTTCCAGGTATTTCGCCATAGTTTTGAAAGGGACTTTTAAAGGACTTTTAGATGTAGCTTTGGAGCTGCTGCAGCACCCAAGAAGAGCCATACTGATATTGGGGGTTGCTTATGGAATTATACTGGGCACTGTGGTAGGTCGGTGCCAAGCAAAGGGCTGCTGTGCGGCCCTGCTGGGGTTGGCTGTGGAGGAGGATGTCCAAGTTCTAGTAAATAAACAGGAAAAGACCCCGTGGGGCCAGGCTGTCATCTTCTGTCAGCCCACTAAGCGGTTTTGGGAGGATTTCATGTTATTTCAGTATTGCCTTTTAGGCGAAACACGTCTTCAAAAGAGGAGGAGAATGGCAGAAATGCTTTGGTCCAGCCCTGCCCTGAGACTGTTACTCTGTGCCCAGGGTTGTGTTTGCATCCTCTCTGTAGCTGGTTTTCTCTCTGTTATAGGTGTACATAGAACTGATGATTATTTCATTAAAGCTGAATGTACCTGTTGTTTTCTTGCCTTGTGATTGAGTGGGCAGCTATGGAGAGATTTTATATGGGAAGGGATTAACTCACACTGGTGCCCTATTGTGTCCAGCTTTTTCTGGAAGCCGTACAGTGAGCAGAAAGAAATCCTAAAGTTGGTGGCAGACACAAATTCTTTGGAGGCTTGCTCTTTCTCTGCTCTTTCTGCAACCTTTCCCTCTGGTTGCTGGCTAATCATTTCTACTGCAGAGCCCTGGCTGCCCAGGGACTGCTATAAGGAATTTGTGAAGGATCACAAATCTCTAGCAGCTAAGAAAAGCCATCCTGCTGTCCCATGAGTAAATTCCCTGTTAGATGCCCTGTAGGGCCAGAGGAAAATGTTTGAGGCTCTGCAGACTGACAGGGGTCAAACCCCGCTGCCCATGAAATGGCACAGCTCTTGCTGATCCCACACAGGTGGTTTGATTTTCTCTGTGAGCCACTGGTTCATGATTCCTGCTCCCAAGGCTTGAGACTGCATTCCCAGATGCACAGTTTGGTGCTGATGGGGTCTGTTATAGGGACAGGACCTCGGGAGGGGGAGCAGCGAGTTTAGTGCGTCAACATGTTCTGTGATGGCTCAAATGGACCACACATCCTAATTTATTTTTTTTGCATAACATCTTCCATGTAATTTCTTTAGACACTACAGCATTCAGAAAATATGGGGGAAAGAGGTAATACATATTTAATAGTATTAATACTATTTATTCTTTCAGGTTTACAGAACAAAATATAGGCTCATAACAGCCACTAATGACTTAATTAAGACTCCCTACTCCTTCCTTGTGATTAGGGAGTAGAACATGAATAAAACATTTATTCCTTTGGAGAAGGAATGATAAATTTACTATTGTAAAGGAGTACTGGGCCAGGAAACCTGTGAAGATGTGGCTGTGTGGTTGTGCCAGAGCACCAAAGGGTGGCCTGGATTTAAGACTGTGTTCTTTGCCAACAGCTGAAATAAACTGGAATAAACACAAAATCATAGAATCATTTAGGTTGGAAATGACCTCTAAGATCCCCAAGTCCCACTGTTAACCCAGTACTGCCAAGGCTGCCATGTCCCCAAGTGCCACATCCACGTGTCTTTTAAATACCTTCAGGGATGGTGACTCCACCACTTCCCTGGGCAGCCTGTTCCAATGCTTGGCAATCCTCTCAGGGACGAAACTTTTCCTGATATCCAATCATTTTTATAGCCCCATTCGAATTGCTTTTTAGCTGTCTGGCTCCTTATCAATACAAGAAATTCATTGCTTGCTGCTCTCTGAATTATGGAAGTGGTTCTTCTGCTCATGCCACAGACTGTGCTGCTGCTTTTGTCCCAGATGTTTCCAGCGCTCTCCTCACAGCAGGGACAATTTGGCTGTATATTCAACAAGTTCTCTATCCCTGCTTTGGCTGTGTCATTTTGAATGTTTTCATCTCCCACAGCTTTTTTATATTAGCAGCAAAGAAAAGAGTGTTTAAATAGTATAACTCTTGCCCAGAAAGGCTTCCAGGGGGATAAAAAGCTTTTCTGTTATGTCAACACTGAGCCCAGAAGAAAGCAAGTGTATCCACTGAAAGGTTCCTTGTGGAAATTGCTGGTAGACAATGATGGCACAAACAAATACTGTGTTTTCTTTCCTGCCCTGGGACACCCAAAGTGCATTAGAAATGCACAGGGCTGGATCTCCAGCTGCTGGAGGTCACGGCAGCTCCGTAACGCTTCAAAGGACCGAGTCTCCCATAGCCAGGAATCTTGTGTTTGAATCCAGGATGCAATCCCTGCATAAATGATGGACATTCTCATATGTGTCCTTATGTATAAATGAAAATCCAGTTGTAGGTTTTGTTGGTGTTGTTGTTTTTTGGTTTGGTTTTGGGGGGTTTTGTTGGTTTGTTTTTTGGGTTTTTTTTCCACAAATGTATGTAAGAAATTGAGTAAACTCATGAAATACACAGAAATCCTGGTCAGCACTTGGGATGGATGGATGGATGGATGGATGGATGGATGGATGGATGGATGGATGAATGGAAGCCAGACCCTGCTGACAGACTCATGTGTTAGGGCAATGAAGCCCTAATACTGCCTGTCTTACAGCTAGAAGCTTTCAACATGAGTAACTCAAAATGACGAAGTGCTCCTAGAAAACAGATTGATTTAAATAATTGCTTTAATATGATTTTACCTCTGCAGCTTTATTTCCCAGAGAAATGGTTCTTGTTAGCTCTTGTTGCGTGGTATTAAAATAATGAAATATTTCCATTTGCAAACAGATAAAATCTTAACATTAAATGTGATTTTAAAAAAACCCACAAATCAGTCAGAGGATGTTATTTTTTACACAGTTATTTAAGCAACAATATAGGTTAACATTTTTTAGGAGGCACAGCTTTCATGTGTCTTTCTTTTTGCAGAAAATTGCAAAGAGTGCAGTTCTTCCTTGCCAAATTATGGGATGCTGCTGTGGGGTCAAACTCCTTTTAGCTGAAAAGTGGGTTTCAGTAGAAATACCCAAACCCAGCATTTTAAAATAGGGGGTTTTTTATATAAAAACTGACAAACAGGCTGATTACAAAAGGGAGGGAGACGTTAGGATAACACATTTTGCAATTCAGATTGCCAAGATGAAAGTATCTGGCTGGCAGTCACCCTGTTAGACCTCTCAGAGATCAGTCTTCCAAACCTCTTTAATCTGGAGGAGGTGACATCCCCCCACCAAGGTGGGTGCCCCAGCTGGGTCCCTTCTGCAGATATCGGTGTCCTTTCAGGTGGTGCCTTTCCCGTGCTAAGTCCCAGCATGGGACACTCTGTGCATGGACACACTGAGCGCCACTTTGCCGCTGTCCCCGAGAGAAAATTTAAATCTGGAGAGGGATGTCACCTCCGTGCTCGAACCCCAGCCGCTCGTGTCACATTCGCCCTCTCCATTTGCCATTTCAGCGAAGACACGAGGCTGAGGAGCCGATGCGTCAAGGCTCGGTGCTGTGACAGCTCCGCGTGACGGGAGACTGGGGAGATGGCAGCTGGGTGGGAAGCGCAAGTACTCCGACTCCTACGGAGCTCCTGAGCATCCCCACAGGGAAGGAGGAGCAGCGCATCCCCTCGCTGCTGCCGGCAGCCTCAGCCGCTCGCTCTCTGCCTGCCAAATGCTCCCAGACTGCTGCTGCACGAAGGCGTCGGGCCCTGGCGCAGCCCAGACAGCCCGTAGGTGAATTTGCATTCCATTTGCTAGCTGGAGCAAGGCGGGGAAGGCCGAGGCGCTGGAAGCTTCTCGTCCCGCATCTCCCCTGGAGCGTGTGGAGCAGCCGTGAGGCCGCGGGCGGGAGGCAGCGGGCTGGGGGGGTGCAACAGGCACAACAGGAACGCACAGCTGCACCCCGCTCATTAGGGCGCTGAGTCAGAGCCTCACGACCGCACCGCGGGGGTAAAAACAGGCTGGCAGGGGATGCTCGGCCCTAATGACAGGCCTGGGTGCCTGCTCTGCTGGCTCCGGCGGTGCTGCGGGGCGGCGGGGGCGACCGCAGCCGGAGCGGGTCCCTCCCGGGGTGGCTGCGGGGACGGGGGTGACGCTGAGCATCATCATCAGCATCAGCCTCCGCCCCCGGCGCTCTCGGCCGGAGCCTGGCGAGGCTGCACGCCCACCGCTGGATCCCTGTCGTGGTGGCTGACACCACGGTCCTGCCTGCCAGGGGGTTCTTCTCCTACATCCATCACCCCCGATGCCTCGTGGCCCTGGTTTCCCTGTCCTGGTGCCTACATCCTGAAAATGGTGGGTTGCAAATCCAGCATCAGGAGGGACAGAGCCCTTTATACAGTGTTTTCTTAGGCTGTTTGTCCCAATAACAGGAGGATTCATGTGGACTAAACACTGCCTGGTTGCTACATCGCCCTATGCATCCCGGGAGGTACACCCAGCCATGGGCTGCTGTGCTGCCTGGAACCCCACAAGGCTTCCCACGGGCATCTCAGCTGAGGTGAAACTCAGCCTAATGCAGCAGAGAAGGTCGTAGAGCTTTGCTACGCCTTTGTTCAGAGGGTGCAGCCTCTGGTTTGGAACAGTTAGTGGAAACATTTCCTCTGGTAGGCTCTTTTGAAGTTGTGTCATTACTGTGTCCTAATGAAACATGCAAATCCTGTAGGTGCTGCGATTGCATCTCAGGGAACTCAGTCCTGACACAGCTCTGGTTGTAAATATTTAACTGGCATATAATTTAGGGCACATCCATCCTCATTACCTTTTTCCTCCCGATTTCTAATTACTCAGAATGTATTTTCCCAGTGCTGTGAAGCCTGCTCAGTTGCAGCCCTTTTTGGCAACCCTGGACAAGAGGGGAAAAGGAAAGGCTGAGTTTTATTAAACGGGGAATCTGAAGATCGTGGCAGTGATATGGCACAACCTGTTGTTGGCAGATTGCCGTGGGAGGCCTTTGACAAGCCAAGAGGAAACCTCCTGCCTTGGCCACTGACAGCCCATGGTCCCATTCAATGATGCTGAATTGCACATGCTGAGGTCACTTTTCACTGCGCTTCTGAAGGTGTCACTTACACAGAATTAATACTTTCTGCCTCCAAAATAGTAGAAAACTGTTCAGTATCAGCATTACACTAAAGAGTAATGAAAATGAAAGCTCACAATAGCAGTACTTCATAGTCTTATTTTTAACTGCAGTGCTCGCTGCTTCAGGTTTACATCCCAACAGCAAATTTCCTTTCCCTGTTCCACCTCCTCAGTGTGCACAAACATCCCAAACCCCTCTGGCAAGGGGCGCTGCACCCACAGAGAGCATGCCAGCCCTTCCATACCCGCTGCACGCTGCCTTCACCCGACTCTGCAGTGATTTGACAGACAACATGTGAGTGAAGAGCCTGCCCGAAGGGCTGCTGCAGCCAGATGGCAGGAGACACGTGTTTTACCCACAGTCTGTGCAGGAGGTAAAAGGAGCTGAAGGATTTTTTTATCCTGCATGGAGTTGGGATGAACATGGCCCAGCCATCAGCATCACCTCCAAGCAGCAGCAGGGAAATGCCAGTGTCACTCTGCCTCAGATGACCAAAAATTCAAGGTGGAAGAGGTAAAATCCAAGCATTTGCAGGTGAATGCTGGAGGGGATGAGTTACCTTTTAAGCACAACTTGTACACAAGTAACAGGCACAGAAGTCTCGCTCCTCTGACACCAGCAATTCAGGAAAAGTTCAACCTAATGCTTTTGTTGCACAAGTGCTACTAAACCACATCTCCAGCCACCATAGCAGGTAGGGAAAAGTAAGTTTCTCAGTAAAGTAACCACACCCCATGCTGCAAAGGGGATAAACTTTTGTCCACACACTTTACTGCACCCTAAGCAGCCCAAGAAACCTGGCCCCTGTTGGACTCTGTTCACCATCAGAGTACTAAAAATAATTCAAAATATTTCAAATTACCTATCATGCTCTCTGGTGGTTGAGCCAGCTTTCAGACCAGCACCCAGATACATGATGACTGCCACTGCAGCACTTATTGGCATTTCAGAGGTTAATTTGAGCTCAGTGAGGAGTCTTCTCATGCTCAGGGGCTTTGGCAGGGATCTGAACCCCAATCTTCCCATCTTTACGTAAGGCATGAGCTGCAGAGCCCACAAAGCACTTCAATGAATGTGGTTCATCAGCTCAATACCCCTGATGATGGGACCCCTTCACAGCACAGGACAGACGTCCAGGGATCCCTTGGAATTTTGAGACTTCCAGCCTTAAAGTATTCTCACCCTGGGTCTTTCTTTGCCTAAGCCCATGTGTATCTATCAACCAATTACAGATATCCAGATATTCTGAACACTGTGACAATTTGTTTTAGGGTTTTATGAAAAAAAAAAAGCAACAAAACACTACAAGAAATTAGTATTTGCCAAACCCAGCCGTGCAAGTTGGGCTGATTTCCAAGAATCCACCAGCATAAAGGTTAAGCACTCAGTAATTCAAGTGCCTTCCACATTACAGTAATAAAACTTCTCATGATGTATCCAGGAGCAGCTGCTGCCCTTGCTTAGCAAATGTAACTGTCCTGTAAAATTATTTTCTATTCATAAGACTTGGAGAGAATGATATTTTCATGTTAACATAACTCAGAGCTGACGACTTCTGTCTCCAGCTTTTTCTGCTGCTTTAATTATAACAGTGCTTTAATGTTTGCAGTAGAAAACTGCTGAAAAGGCATTTCTTATATTGCAAACGATGCAAAAAATGCCTTTGGCAGATGTTTGATGTCACAGATGTTCAGCACCACAAAGCTTAACCAAAGTATACCCTAAAAGGGGGTGTGAAGGTGACAAAAAAATAATCTTTTGTAATGTTTCAAAGACATACAGGACACACACATGAACACAGCCCAGGTTTTGGTGTGATTTTGGCTTTGCTGGTGTGTTTGCAGTCAGCAGCACGGAGTCACTGCCACAGCACATACACGGCATGTACAGCTGAGAGACACTTGGCTCCTCTACACAAAACCATAGTTTTTATTAAAGCTCCCTTTTTAATGGGCAAGAAGTGAACAAAACAGTCCTGACCATGCCCCTGAAGATGAGCAGCATGTCCTAGAGGTGCCTTCAGCACTGCTGCTGCTATCCTTGCTGCTGTCCCCGCTGCTGTCCCCTGTACTGAGCTCTATTACCACTACCCTGTTATCTCTGCAGAGACATCAAAAGCCCTTTAACTTTCAATACCAATTACTTCAGGCAAGTTAGGCATCTAGTCAACGATCCAAGGTGCTTATCTACTGACTGAATAGTAGATATTCAATCTCTCTACAGCTACAGCCACCTCAGCAGACGCACCCAGAGAAGCCAGCCCACTTGGTAAAGTGGCACATACAAATAGGGAATGATCATAAAATACCTTTTTTTTTTTTTTTTTAACCCATCATGTAGAAATAGAGGTCAGTGGAAGCCTGAGGGCATTTGCCCCAGTTACAGGCAGCCCGTGCTGGATGTGATTTAGCCGATGCTATTAGCCCGGGAGAGACGCAGACGGCTCCCTTCTAGGAAACGTTCTGTGTGAATCGCTGCGTGCTCAGATGCAGCATCCACGGCCCTGGGTGTCAGCAGCGCTCTGTTTGTTTGCTTGCTTTAAAGAAAGGCTTCTAAAGCAGAGTTAAAACGTGTTCTCACCAGGCCCCCTTTAATGGGTACACACACTGAGGAGAACTGGGGCTAGCAGGGAAGCACACCCCAAACCACAGCCTGCATTTTGTAACATCATCTGGGCAGGCTCAGAGCCTGTTTGTTTTGCTCCTTTGTCTTCAAACACAATTTGGCAGCTCTCGGTGGCCAATCCGTCCCCCGGAGTGTGTAACTGCCTGCCCAGGAGAAGCAGCAGCCGCCCTTACAAAGACCTCAGATGGTCTTTTAATTCGGCAGTGATTTAATTGCTGCACTTGCTTCAGGACAGTTTCAAAGAAGATGGCTCAAGGGTCCCGACTACAAAGAGCTTTGGAGCAGGCATTCTGACAGTAAACTGTTCTCGCCATTGTTCAGGCTCCCCCTTTCCAAAGGCAATGACTCCGCTCCACCAGGACTGGCAGGGAGCCTCCAGCTTCTCAAAAACTGGGTAATGAGATTATGGGAGCAGCTCACGAGGCTTTTGCTCTGAGCTGCAGAAGAGAGCTTTGCGCTCTAAGAACTTTGTGTGCCTCCTCGGGGCCTTGTGATTAAGAGCATCTTTGTGGGATGGGCTGGAGCCCATCTGGCAGGAAGCCTGGGATATTTCAGGTAAAAAACTAGAGAGGGACGAAATATGAATCCAAGAGGAACACATACAATTTTAAACCCCTTTAAATCTGAAGTTAATTACCCTTCAGATAACAAGCAATGATAAATGAAAGGCTGAATGGGGCTTTGAGGAACGTGGTCTAGTGAAACATCTCTGCCCATGGCAGGGGGACTGGAACTACGTGATCTTTAAGATCCCTTCCAACTCAAACCATTCTGTGATTACATGAAAGGCAAAAAACTTGCATGTCACCATTTTATGGTGGCTCTGCAAGCAGAGAAGAAATAACACATTATATGTTTGCTCTTAGCAAATACACAGATTGTAATATTTAAGACTGTGTTTGCTCCAAGCTGTTTATAGAGTCAGAAATCATCTTCACTCAGAAAATACGAGCGTGGTATTTAATCCTATAAAGACTTAGGTGATGATATGACTCCTCTCCAAGAAGAGAGGACAGCTTCTTTGCACTTTTCCTTCCTCTTTGCAGAGAAGGTGGTCCAGTAATGAGACATGGTCCTAGAGGGGCATCAAAATCTGTCTCTGCTCATGCAGTAGTGGTTAACGAGGGAGGAGTAGGAAGGAGGAAAAACACATGCAAATCCCTAGAGTTTAAAAGTAAATTTAGAAGACTGTACTGACGAGGACTCCAGGGCTTGTCAAAGTGAAGGTTGCCACCCCTACATCAACACTGGCAGTTCCCTTGAAAAGAGCAGCCTTATGGCTCCTGCACATATTTATGCAAAGATATATTAACTGCAGTTATACAACACGAACTTCAGGATTCATCTCCTTGAGATATTTATTTTCAAACAAACTGTTTGGGAAACACAATGCACATTTCCCTCTACATTTCCACCCATCTGGTTTCAGAAAAGCAATTCTATGGGATACAAACAGTCCTAGGCACCGCACAAAGTATTGGACAATGTTTAAACCTCACACCCAGCGGTACAGTATTAACTCTAGTAAAGCAGAGCAGGAATAAGTTCACATTCAGGAAAAATGTAACCAAGTTACACAGAGGCTTCCAAGAAGGACTTAGATGGGAATTAACTAGAGAAGTTAGAGAAGTAAAAAAGCAAGTACACAAATCAAAGTACACAGTCCTTCACAGTTATCTTGGGGGTGAGGGGAATGGTGGTTGAACAAAATCTGCTGCAGAGAGCAGCCACTCCCTAGGTGGAAAACGCCAAAATATCCAGAGTTTCAGCATCTGAAGGCAACACAGGGGGAGAGCTACTCTACCAGGATCGTATCAACACTTTCTTGGATGAGATCTGACTCCAGTATACATTCATCTAAGTGGTCTTGGGACAAACTGGAGCTCTTACCCACACTCTCGCTGTCACAGTAAGGATGAAACCTGGGGGTGGCGGGGCTCTCCAGCCTCTGGCAGCGGCTGTATTTGTGCTGCTTCCCCCTGTGCGTGTACATGTGTTCCAGCAGCTGGCTCTTCCGGAAAAATGTGCGGCCGCAGACAGTGCAGATGATTTTTCTCTTTCTTGAGAAAGAAAAGTTACAGTTCAGCTCCACCGGTTCGTGGTCCTTGGAGATGAGGGAGAGCTGGCCAATCTGCAGAGGCTCCAGGTCGCTGCAGCTTGGATGCTCCAGCTGATGTTCATCCTCCTTGAGGAGGAAGGCCCTGAGCCGGTGGTCGTCCTCAGCCTCCCTGTCCTCAGCCAGAGGCTGCACCTCGCCCAGGTCGCTGCTTTCCAGGATGGAGGCCGGCACGCCGAAGGGCAGCGAGCCCGAGACGTGGGTGTGCAGGTGCTGCCGCAGCCCCCCCCGGGAGTCGAAGCGCTCCCCGCAGTAGTGACACAAGTGCACCTTGAGGCTGGCCTTGGCAAAGATGGGGCTGGCCACCTCCGGAGAAGGAGGGGTGCAGCTCTGGGACACCACGGGCTCCGGGTCGCACCTCTCCTGCTTTATGGAGACCGAGAGCTTTGGACGCTCCTCTGCCGGCTTAGTGAGAGCGGCGGGCGGGGCAGAGGGGCGAGCGACCTGCTGGCCCAGGGGGCCGTCGTCCAGGCCGATGGCCAGGGACAGCTGCAGCTGAGGGTGATCGCCCTGGGCCGCAGACCTGCCCCCCGCCTTGGGCAGGCTGTCCTTCGCTCCCAGGCGTTCCTTTGCCAGTTTGTGTGCCGTCGAGATCTGGATCCCGTACAAGTTGGAAGACTGGACCGGCTCTGGGGAGAACGCTTGGTTCATCTCGATAGCGATGTGGGAGAGGTGGTCTGCGTGGAGAAAGCGGATGCCCTCCTCCAGTCGGCTCTGGCTGACGGTCTGCTTTGGCCCTTTCCCAGTGTACATGATATGTAACAAGTAGCTAAATATGTCAGGCTGGATGTCTGTTGGCTGAATCTTTATGCATTCGCTGAAACAAAACAGATGATTAAGTACATACAGGGATCCAAGCTAGCATTACCTGCCCATTTGCTGTCAGTGCTGCTGCCTGCCTCCCGGTTTACGAGCAGCACTCCCCGCCAAGCCCTGCAGAAGTGCATAAGCCCTGTTTGCACAGCAAAGTGCCTGAGCCTGCATTCATCTCTGTGACTCTGAAGACCATGTGCACAACCACAGCTGGGGACGGTGCGAGTGGCCAGCTCCCGGTCACCCCGTCACTCGCATGCAGAGCCAACCGCAGCTGTGTGGCACCGCAGTGATGCCATGCAAGCATCACCAGGGTGTGCCACTCCAGTAACACCAGGCAAGGAATATCTGTGTGTTTAAGTAATAAATTCAGCTGCTGCTGCTGTGTAATCTTTATGAGTGTTGCGCTTAAGTGTCAGCAAACAACATTTATAGGGAAAGGCAGTTAACTCATCTCACTTCCTGCCAAAGAGTGGCATGGCTGATCCTAAGGCTTATTTTGCGATGGTGGTGGAGGCCATGACCCTCAAAAAGGAAGGGGAATGGAGAAAGGTTTCATCCACTGCAAGCACCAAGCTCCAGGTCAGAGGCCAGACCTTGGCATCAGTGTTGTTATACCTGCAGAACCACTCCTGACCTGGCCAGGTGAAGCATCTCAACAACAGCTTGAAATGAACTGATGATCTCAGTCTTGGCCCTTATCTGCCAGAGTCTGAAAAGCAGAACTGCGATAAGGCTACAGTTTCTCGATTACTTCAAGCCCACGGATCTTGCCAGAAGTGACAGTCCCACCCAGCCAGCTTGCCTACAACCTAATGCAAAGTAGTGGACATGGGCAGAGGAGGTACCAGGTTATCCCTGGATTCCAAACCTGCAAGGTTCTCACTGCAGGAAAACAGTGGTACTTACATGTTTATTTTATCAGGTCACACAAATGTCTCATCTCCAAAATGCAGGGCCTGATGTTACCGATGCTGACTAAGAGAGTGGTTTTAAAGGACAGCACGTTCTGGACTGGGAATGTTTAGGGAGCCAAGGCCTGTGGTGGGTTGGGAAAATAATATCAAGCCATCTAACATCTCCACTTACAGTCTTTTAGAGTCTGATGCCTTTAGAAAGGAGAAAAAGCAGAACGTTGAGCGTGATTAAAGGATAGAAGAAGTGTGTGTTCTTACCTTGTCTGATGAATAAATATCATCTTAAAATAGTTTGAAAAAGCAGCGAGCACCGCTCTGTGGGCTTTGAAGTAAACATCTCCAATGGCAACTGTGCAGTCACACAGAAAGCCAAACTCTCGCTGCATGTTCAGCTGCTGGAGGAGGAGGACGCTGTGGCCAGTGGTATCCATGGCGTGCCTAGGAGCAAGAGAACAAGATGTTCATCTCATGAAGAAATCACAGAGCTCCCGGAGGCTCAAATGTGGGTTTCTCACCACTGAAACAAGTTGGGCGCCTGTCACGGAGCTTCTTCCCTCCTCCAGATGGTCCCCGCACCCTAATTCAATAGTTTCTCCTACTGATACCACCGCTGGTACCCAAAATCACGTTCAATGAGCTCAAAAACCTTTCGGGGACTTTTCCATCTGCCCAGCTACACTCGGAGCTGCTTCTCCCGCCGATTAACTACGCTCCGTGGGGTGCCAGCACTAACTTTAAACCCGGCTCTCGTTTTCCCGCTGATCCGATGGCGCTTTCCACTGCCCCGCGGGGGCACAGGGGGAGCGGGGCTGGCGGCGGGGCCGAGCCCGGCGGCTCCCGCACAGAGGAGCCCTGTGCGGCCAACAAAGCCCCCATTGTGCGGGGCTGAGCCGCCCGCGCCCCGCCTCGCCGGCGGCCCCTTTGCAAATAAACGCTGATATTTGCTATTGTTTCAGCAGAAAATTATTTGGGGGGGGGGGAGGGGGGGAGGCGAACGACACACAAAGAGGGAGGCGGCGAGCGCAGCCTCCCCGGGGAGCCGGACCAGCGCCCTCCTCCTTCCCCTCCCTCCGTGCCGGCCGGCCCCCGCTTACCCGCCAGGAAGCGCCGAGCCGCCCGCCCCCGCTAGCTCGGCCGGCGGATGGGGTGGGCGCTGCCCCCCGCGCTTCCTGCCGCCGGCCGGGGCGGGGCCGGGGCTGGGATGGGCTGGGATGGGCTTCTCCTGGAAAAAGTGAGCGCGGCCCCTGCGCGCTCCTGCGGCGCTCCCTGCGCGCCCCGGCGGCAGCGATGGGCGCGGGCCCCTGCGCGGCCGCAGCTCCTGAGGGAGGGAGGGAGGGAGGGAGGGATCATGGGCACCCCCGTAGGGGGGATTTTTTTGGGGAGAGTGTGTGTTTTCCCCCGGGCTCACCCTGGGCTGGGGGGACTTTGCTTGTCGGTGGCACAGTATGGCGTGCTGAGCGCCTCGGCTGTCGGTATAAAAGTGGATTTTTGTTGTTGTTGTTGGGCTGGTTTTTTTGGTTTTTTGGGGTTTTTTTGGTTTTTTTTTTAACGGAAAAAACAGCTGTGGAAGGGAGCTTTCCCCGGCCTGCCTGCTCGTGAGAATGGATGCGAAGATACGGTCTGGCTTCCTCACCAGTGTCTGCGGCCTCGGCGCTGCTTTAACCACCACGAATCCTGTGGACACACCATTTCCCTGTCAGGCCTCCCCCCCGCCTCTCGCTGAGGTTAAACCAGGGGTTGTTTTAGGCGAGAGCAGCTGCTCTGCGTGAGGTGCCTGGCAGAGGAGGGGGCACAGGCAGCAGTGCCACCCTCACCCCTGTCACTCGGCCACCAGCAGCCCCTCCTGAGGGTCCCCCTGAGCCCCAGCCGGCTGCTCTGGCGGTCAGTACAACCTCTGAGGTGTCTTTACAATGAATGTTACCAAACTGCTTTCCGAACCTGTTTAAACTTCCAGTCTGTCCAGCCTCCTGCTGCCACCAGGTTAATTTGATGTCCACAGGTTGTTTCTCAGCTGGAAAAGGCAGCGAAAATCGCTATTTGTGTGCTTTTGTCATGACTTTGGTGAAGTTTCTAAGATCTGTCACACCCACCTCTTCCATGGTGTCCCTCCTGGTTCAGAGCCTCTGCAGAAGACATTTAGAAGACCTCAGATTATCCCTCTTGGTTTTCTCTCAGCATTTGATATTTTTTAGTCCGTTGTCCTATTGCATTCCCATAATTGCAATTCCTGAATATTTAGGGCAAATAATGCCCCTGGCCCCCCAAATCCAGCAGTCTATGAGACTGTTTCCAGGCAGCCTGTGCCTGAGCAGAGGATGAAGATGGGCTCCGAGGAAATAAAGCATAGGCTTCAAAGCATTTTGATCCATGCAGTGATTGCTGCTTATCCCACTGGCCAGCACAACTTTCTCTTTTCCATTGCCCTACATTTTATTTCTTCTGTTTCTCACAGGAGCTCACAGGACTCGGGGAGAGTCTTTCCCTCCTGTGTTTGCGCAGCAGCAGGATTGAGAGATGATGAAGCTATATTCCTGCTTGTCCTGTAAATATCAGTAGCTACTTTTCTTCTCTGCAAAAGGTTGGCACGAGGTGGCTCAATGTTTTGTACCATGCTCTGGGTTATTTAACATATTTATTAATCTGCGTACAGAGCGAGTTGCTATTTGCAGATGGCACGTTATTTATTTAAATGATTAATTATTTACATGTTATTTAGGTTGACTGTAGTCCAAAGAGGACTTTGAAGAGCTTTAGAGAAGCTGGAGCCAAACTGATGGAAGCGATGATGAGGAATGAAATCTGGTGTTTTGCTATAAAACGCAGGTGATGGTATCACACACCTCAGCAGATAATGAACAAATAAATAAATAAATAAATAAATAAATAAATAAATGAAATTGGAAAGGCAAGTGTGGTGGGACGGCAGTGAGAGAACGGGAGCAGTGAGAAAGGGGGACTCCCTTTTGCCCCATCTTACTGGAGGTGGCAGAAACCCTGCATGGGCACTCTTGGCTTGTGTAAAGAGCTGGGGAGAAAAAGACCCTTGAGCCATGAGGAAAGTAACTTTTCCGTGTGATTTGAAAACCATGACGGTGTCAGCTTATGGAGGGCATTTACTTAACTTCCTATAAAACAGGAAAACCTACAGAGAAGTTGTATTGTGGGGGTCCCTCCACCTTCTGTGGGGGTGGTGCCTTGCAGCCACAGAGGGTTTTTTTTTTCCCCTTGGCACTGCTACTACACCCCTGAGACAAGGCAGAGCGAGAGGGGATTTTTTTTGAGCCACATTCCGAAAGACACATTTTGAAAGCTCCCGTTTTATTCTGTAGCTGATAGAAAATCCCCAGACGAACTCAGGAGGAAGGACTAGGATTTTGTTAATTGGGTTTGTGCTGTTTGCTTAAACGGTGGAGGGATGCTTCAGGAAAATCTTAGAGGTCATTGAAGCAGGGATGGATGCTGGTACATTTTAACATTATGGCATTTTATTTTGTTGCTTTTTTTGTTATTTTTGTAATTTTCAAATTTGTAATAAAATCTTTTAACTTTGCTACGATTAAGTTTGCCCTTTGGGCTTGTCTGAAGCTAAGAGGTATCTTAGTTGCAGCAACATAAAACCAACGGTATCTCTAGAAACTGTGTCTGAATGACCGAGCTGTGCAGATAAAACAGTTCCAGTGCTTACGCTGAATGACAAATGTCACTTTGGGGGTGGAAAAGTCAAGTGGCAAGACCGGGAGGAAAGCCTGCCCTGGCTTATGTTTTCTCTCAGATCTGTGGCAGGTAGCAGAGGAGATCGGAAATCCCACTTGCTCACATGGGATAGTTCCTGAGAAGCTGGATGCTATCAGACAGGAGAGATCCAGAGACTGGTGGGAAGAGGGCCTGGGACAGCTCCTGGGAAGATGAAAAAAAGCGCTGTCCTCAGGCTCTGTGACAGAGTGTGGCGGTGGCTGCCAGCCCTGTGCTCCTGCATCACCGTGAAGCTCCAGGAGGGCGGGCGGTGGTATGAACGTGTGAAATCGCAGCGAGAAGGAGATACTTTCTCACGCAGCTCGCAGTGGTTTTCTCGCCTTTAAACTGTCCCACGCGGGGGCCGCGGGGCTGCGGGTACAACCCCCCAGCGCCGGACACCCACACGGGTGACCGGAGCCTCCCCGTCCGCACCAGTCACCGCTGGTCGGAGCAACGGAGAGACACCTTCGCGATCCGTGAGCGAGCCGTGGTGCCGCGGAAGTGGCGATTCCGGGGCTGAGAGCAGCGGGGCGAGACAGCCCGCCGCGGGTTCCCGTGGCGCTCGCGCGGTCGGGGGCCTCCGCCAGGCGGCCCGGGCTTGCGGACACACGGGGAGGGGCCCGCAGCGCCGCCTCTTTGCGCCGCGCCGCGTCCGGCGCATGGGAGGAGAGCGGAGCGCGGCAGGGAAACCGCCCCGCCGGGCCGGCATTGGCGGAGAGGCCAGCAGTTCGTCTGGCAGTCGGCGGGCCCGGAAGCCGGCCTTGCCGAGGAATGGGTCCCGCCCCGTGCGGTCTCGCGCCGTAAGCCGGGCGGCGCGGCACTCGCGCAGCCGGCGCGGGGCGGAAGTCTTTGTTGCTAGCCGCGGCCAGCAGCAGCAGTGCGGCAGCACGGCGGGAGCGGCGCGGACACGGCTCCCCCCTCGGCAGCCACTGCCTCGCCCCGCGCCGCGTAAGCGGGCTCGCGGATCCGGGAGGGGAGCGGGAGGCGCCCGGCAGCTCCCGCCGGCGGCGGAGGTGGAAGTGCCCGGACGGCGCGTGTCCCGGCGCGGCCCGCCATAGTGGGCTGCGCGCGCAGGTAGGGGCTTCAGCCGCGGCCGGTGCCTGGCTGGCTGCCTGCCGCGGTGAGCTTTTGCGCCCCGCGCCGGCCGGGCACAGGCCGGGGCGCTCGAGCGCGCCGCCGGGCTGCGCGGGGCCACGCGGCCCGCGGCGGCGTCGGTCAGCTCCCGCCCATCCTTCCCTCTTCCTCCCTCCCGCACTGCCAGGGGCCGCGGCGGCGCGCTCTCACCTGCCGGCGGGCGGGGTTCCCGGGATGCGCCTGGGGAGCGAGAACGGCCTAGGGAGGTGCTATCGTAGGGCAGAGCGGGAAAGGAAGGGCACCGCGCCGTCCGGTGCTCGGGGCTCGAAGTCGCGGTAAACATCTCGGGTGCCGCTATCGCGCCCGGCGCCGGCCCCCCCTCCCCGGTGGGTCCCGCCGCTTCTCTTCCTTTTGTCTT